TTATACGATTTAAAAAGCAAGGTTTACATTTTATTACAGTTTTCTTCGTATCACATATTACTGATCCGACAGATAAAAACATTTTAATCTGACAGTGTGTTAAATCTGTCACAGCTTCAAAGTTCACAGTTATCTAATTTACTCAACAAGTACTGTTGGTTCACGGACATGCCATGTCCCAAGACAAGTCCCGATTTCTATAGTGCAAAGCCTCGGAGCAAACACGGCACTACTTCAGATGACAATATTCATGGTGAGACAATGTTATCCCACCTAAAATTATTACAGCAACAGTAATAAAATGAATTCCAAAAATTTTGCTCCCACTTCATCAATTTTCCATTATCGCTTTCCATTTATTAATAATTACATTTTGTAGACTGCAGTTGGCTTCTTTTACTTCATCTCCTTTTAATGTCACGCCCTGCCTGAGGAGTTTCTGGAGATGCTCATCTAGTCGGTTCACGGTGGACGGAACTGAACTCATATTTGCCTACCTGAAAGCAACACACAAAATTACACCTTTTACATATCTTCGTTTAGAGCTTGATATACGAATGTTTACGAACATTTAATTACAATAATGAAATCCCTTAAACATTTTCCAGTTTCTGTAAGACTGTTCGTTTTTTTTTTACAGAATACGTTATAAATTCTGCTTCCCTCTCTGTTATATATCTTCCCGGAAATAAGCGAAGTCGTGATTAGATATACCTAGAACCTATGTAAATTTTATACTCACTACATTCTGGAATCATATATGGAAAATTGTACTCCAATCAATTTACATATTTTCCAGATGTGTTCCTGGTTATTTCTTGTATTTCATTTGTATTAATACCGTTTATTGTGGATACAAAACCAGTGTTGCTAATATAATCAGAAATATATTTGTACTTCATTGAATATTCTCACAGTAATAAGTACTTGAAAGTTTTGAATCTTGAGCGTAGTGGGCATTTGTAGGAAATTTCCAAAGTACACGACATGTTTAGGAAAGCCGGCATCCTCATACCTAAAATTCTGATAGAATTCTCGTATTGCGAGGCTCAGAGTTAGCAGAGACCACCAGCAGTAGGCCTTTGCGTTACTAACAGCACAACCAGATATCGCTAGCCTAAAACCAGTTCAACAAGTTATTACCCTCCTTGTCGCCGGGAATATTACAGATTGTGGCATTTTTAATTAAGATATGTTGTGCTTTTGTTGGGTAATATCTCACTCTTACTACTGGGCCTCCACACGAGAATTCCAATGAAATCCGTTCGTTATAGTATTTTCAAGTGACGGAATATATACACAGAAATATGTACCTTGTGCCAAAAACAAACGAGAGATAGAGGGTTGTAGTTTCAATATGGCTGCGATCAGCAGCTTTACGATTTCAGCATCATCAGACAAAGATAAAAATATACAACAGTACTACAAATGTCAACAATTTTCCCCCGACTATTAATTTTAGTTTTTATGAGACGTAAAGTCTGCATAACAATCGATAAAAAGTCTACGAGTCTACAGTCTGGTAAGGTGTATTTAAGCGTGGGCTAAGCGATAACAACCATTAAAGTGGACTCCACATTCCCCACTTCTCCAGCTTCTACTTCTGGTCTGGGAACTTGTGCCAATAAATATCTGTTTTGGCCTCAAGATTATAACCGTCTAACAACTGGAGTACTTACCACAAGCTTGAACCACTATTCATACAACACTCATAGACACCTTCCAAATAACGCGGTCTTATAACATTCGCGCAACTTTATGTACTCGAAGGGACTAAGAGACAGAGGGGAATCCCAACAGACTTCGCCATCACGTGAGGTCACGTGACGCACTAAAATGCGCGAGCAGTTTGCGCTGCCTTCGTGTACACTCAGAGCTGAATTGAAGTGAACACGTGCGCTATGCAAAATTTCCACAGTTTTTATGGTCTGATCTTTCGATTGGTTAAAACTGAAAAGGGAATAAAAGTAAAGCTGTCCCGCTACACGCCTATACATACGCTTGGAGGTATAGCTCCTCTCTTCCTTGACCTCGGCACTAGATGGGGGTGAGTGGTCAGCATCACGCCCCGGCCGGCTTTACCTCCGGGAAAGGACCCCGGTACCCATTGTAGAGGAGGCTGGGAGGGCCCCAGAGCCGGTCTGGACGCAGAGGCTAGAGGAAAAATCCTCTGCCCCCGTCGGAGATCGAACCCCGGTCGTCCAGCCCGTAGCTGATCACTATACTGACTGAGCTATCCCGGATCCCTGACAAGGGAATAGCTCCTGTAATTATTGCACGATATCAGTTTATATAGGAAGATAAAAAGTATATTTTCTCCATTGCCTAAATACGACGCTATAAATGAAGTTGTGTGTATAGGGGGAGTGAAGGTAAAGCTCCACACATTATTTGCGACTGCACTCGAAACAGGTGAGCGGTGATTTTTCTGACAAACTCGTGTTTTAATAGAAACACAAATACTTCATGTCAACTTTTTACCTTACCTTGGTGATTTACTTGAATGTTAGAGATAAACTCGTTACTTTAAAACCCACTAAAATTTGTACGGGTGCTTTTTAGTCTTCGGACTTTCGTGATCTTGACATAGAAGAAACGTTTCTTACATATCAATTGACACGTTGTTAACACAAACAAATTGACTATCGTTTTCCGCTCATTCAAATACTTTCAAGGCTATTAGGAAGGAGAAATGTCCACTTTTATCACTTTTGAGAAAATGAGATTCACCTTTATCAAAACTACGTACCTGGAGTGAATTTCAATTCCGTAACAAAGAAATAAGTTAAAAAAAATTCTCCATACACACACTTTGCACGTCCATACCATTATTGAATTTGAAATATTTCAGTTCTTGCAAATCACATGTAATATTATATGAACAAACTTTATTTAATAAAACATTATAAAAGCAGGTTTCTTCTTAGTTCACGTTATTTGTGATATATAGATAGATATATAGATTGCTAAACAAAAAAACTTATAAATCAAGTTGCCATATTGGAAAGCGGCCCCACAAATAAAGCCATAGAAACACTTCTTAGCTAATGCTTTCTTTTCTACTGTAAATAAATCTCCTCCTCCAAATATTTCCACAAGTTCTTCCCAGTTTCTTTTTTTCAAGTCCCGGTTTGCGTATTCAATAGCAGATGAATCCCATAGTGATGGTCGGGACTGAATTCCAATTATCAATCTTTCGGTGTCGAAATTATCCATGTTGGAAGAAACAGAAATACACACAAGCACATCCACGCACGGACGTCAATGGACTGGCCAGACTGTCATGTGATGTTGATTTGGCCTTGGCCGTGGCAGCGATGCCAGTAGCATTTGAACTTGGCATCTTGGTTGCGATGCCAAGTTGGAAGCGCTGCCAGACGGATGCCAGGTGCGATATATGACTACTAAATTAATGCATTGAGTTTGGCCGAGATGCTGGCAGCTGCGCCATGGCCTCCCGTTGGCATCTTAGTGCGATACCGCCCTGAGATGAGAGCACTTTCGGGATCGTACAGACGTAATGTTCCTTGGTCGTTTTGGATATAAAACATGCAGACGGACATGCCCCCCCCCACTCTGCATTCTTATTATGTGTGTGCAAAGAACACATAAAAAGGACAAAACTGCTCGACTACCCAGTAAACTTATCAGCGGGAGGTATCCAATGGCACTGAGAGACTTTTATCTAATCTTAAGCCACTTTGCAGTGATAATGGCTACCAAACAGCTAAGAAGCACAGTATTAAGTTAAGACAATTTATAAAGCATGCCACATAAAATACTTGGTAACATTTTCACGGTCAATAATCTCATTTCTTTGGTGTGTTATCGCTCGACACCTGTTCCTTCTTGCTACGTCGAATCCTGTCTGCACTGTCGTCTGAGTGACGCAAACAACACGTATCTTGCGCAATACAAGAACATGGTATCTGACACTGCTCCATGATGACTCATTGTGCTTCTTTTTTTTTGGTTCCCGCAACACTTTACTATAATCTCCCTCCTTAATTTGCATCGGTGTAACTTCCAACCGTGCAACTAGCATTTATTCATTCAATCAAAGAAAATCTTTCTGTTGATCATTTTAATTTTTTATCATTGAATTATATTTCACGTTCACGGATACTTGACTTTGTTCAACATGACAGAAAGGTAAAGGTAAAACGATTCACATTGAACTCGGTCTAAAACGGTGACCTTTTGCCCTTGAGACCGGTGTGACGAAAACAGCATTTATCATGAAAATTATTGACCTTGGAATTTCGCGGCTGGAGTTAAAATGTAAAATTTCGACCTTCGGAGTTGAGCCGCTTCGAAAATTTAAAGTTATCCAACGTTCGGTAATCACTATAGTTACCGCCGTCATATTTAACTCGTCGCCTATTTCATGCCTTCCAAGAACGCCTAACACAAGTTCAGCATCATTGTTTCTTCCCCAGTACTTTTCAGTTCTCACGTGATCATACTCTCGTATCATTCAGTACTAAATAAACTCTGCAGCTAATACAGCGTCGTTCAACTGTCTACTATTCACAATCGAACAAAGGCTACCAGGCTTAGTAAACTCATGGTGACTTAGTGACGTTCAATTACTGTGGAGATTTTGTCGACAGGATTTGTAAGACGCCGACGCCAGTAAAATTGATAGTTCTAAAACTCGTATCATTAAGCTCTCAGAAGCGATATCTCTGTTCCAATATAAGTGAAGTCTATCACCCCGACCTAAACGATAGCAACTAATACAAATACGTCGGATTAAGAACAGAAACGAAGAAATCTTACAACGGTTTCCACGTGCCTAGCACACACATCCCTCAAACCAAGGGGGTAACAGACTTTATCTAAAGCAATGGTCTGACGTGTCACAAATCGGACCAAAATTACACATGTTTTAAATTAAATTAGAGACAAGAAATAACTCATTGTCAATGCAGAACACATATTTTATTTACGCATCTGACAAAATCACTCAAAACTATCGAATTCCTGAACCACTGAACAATAAACAGATCATCTTTTACACTAAAAACTAAGAAAATCTACGTTGATCCTCGGAATCTTTGTAATTCTTCGAGATTTCTTGCCACTGCAAGTTGGCTGTCTGTGTGTTGTAGTATGAGCTATATAGTCTACCCCTAACGTAGAGCAGGTCTTAGACACAACAAATCAATTTTGAAGACTGTCAGGTATGGATATCCTGCAGTTTATAAACTACTGACCATAGGTCGTTGTTAACATCAACACACACGTGAGGTGCAACGTATTCAGAAACTTCCATGCAGTTTTCAATCATGATCAAACATTTTTCGGAGAGAAACTGCAGTAGTTATTGACCCGACCGAGTCAGTGCCCGTATTTGCTCGTGGACAGTCTGTGTGATTCAGAACGACACCTGTAAACTAATTCGGCCACAAACACAATGAAACCCACTACAAGCCCGAATACAAGAACAAAGAAAGAAACTTTTAGATGGGAAAGTGTAAACACGAAGTACATGTCACTGCAGACTTCACATCCTCGTTCTTTAAATCTGTCCACATTTTGTAAATTAGTATAAAATATCAGGTCGGACCAATATTTTACAACAAGCCCTGATTCTGTACAACGTCTGATGGCCACGTTGAATAAATCCAAAAGAGGATGACCCTTAGTTAGATATATGGAAATGTCTAAAGGAAATACGTTATCATTCAACGTGCACAGTACTTTTTTAATTTTAGCCATGCCCATATGCGATAGAACGTAGACCACATCAATTATCGGGGACAACATTGTGATATCTCCCTCTACAAACAAACGCTCCAGACATTTATGTCGATCAGAACAGTCTACATGAGATCTGAACATCTCTTGTTCATGATAATCTGCGAGACGAAGGAAGAACTCCAGACTATCCTCTTTGCCATATACCAACCCTGACTCCACGAGTTCGTCAAAGTTATTTATATCATTGTGGTAGCCTGGATTTATAAGGAAGGAAACGAAAAAGGCTTGGGCCACAATGCCCATTACAAAGCAATAGCACAGAAGGAGGGTAAAAAGGGCCCTAAGTTTGGGGCTTCTTGGCATCTTTGGCACAGGCGTACCCAATGAAACACACCAAACGACGCAGATGCACTGCAACATATCTCTGTAAGTTGATGATTCGGTCACCAAAGTGATGTTGGGGGCATTAGCTGACAGCCAGAAAGTAAGAGCAGTCAGAATGAATACTAAGGCGATACAGAACCAAACAGGTAAAGTGTACAATCCCATAACTTTCTCCACTCTCGGGACAGGTTTGGGACATGGGACATACCATCTCAGGTCATCAAACACAATTGTTATTGTAGGGTCTGCGAATGGAATGAGAATTGAGTTCAAAGGGAAGTGACCAATAGCAACGTCAGATATTCCCATGGATACCTCCACTAACTGCTGTAGATGGGTGTCCTTCACATCGCCTTCTGCAAGCGGGAGATACACAACCGTCAGGTTTGCTGCTTCGGTTAAAAGGAGAAGATACTCTATTTCCAAACCCCTGTAGTTGTAAACAGTGCTTCCGTCTGAATCCACGTAAGTGTTTGTTGAAATCACGTAAGGTATCAACTCTGAAGTAGATACCCTGATTGGACAACCTTGAAGATTATTAGGAATTTTGTTAGGGAACAGAAGTGCGTTGTTGGACAATTGTCCGTCGCCATCAGGCAAACACTGGTCCATTAGAACAACGTTCGTTAGCTTCGCACAACTTTTTGCTTCGTACGGGAACCACGTATATAAATTCAAAATATGGATTCTTGCGCCCAGCCTCGGGTAATCAGGATCTGGAACCATTACAACAACATTGACAATTCTGTTAATGTTCCACATTGTTTCACAAATATTGAGAGCCAATATGTTAGCGGGACTGATATAATTTTCAGTTACAACGATAAAGAACTTCGCTCGCGGGTTCCAAGACACGACAGACTGCAGTTTCTCCAGCTGTGTGACTAAAGTACCAATTACGTCAAATTCTTCTGGCCACGTGAAAATCACGTAATTGTGGTGTATGCGAAGTTGCTCATCTGACATTTCGAGATTTAAAAATTCTGTCTGAAACACTTGGAGTGGCCAAAGTACGTCCTGATGTGTGTTTTCCAAGACGAAATTAACTAATTGTGAGGAGTCACACTTTGGCGATGTTTGAGATCCTTGACACCCGCTTTTCGGAAATGACACGATCAGAGATTGTCCTGGTGTGAAGTTTCGACGTATGACAGACCTCAAGCACAGAGCAATGTATCGTTGTTCAGATGTTAAGAGTTCGTTTCTGATCAAGGTGGCCATTTGGAGCACTATAAATGTTAACAAACGCTGGTGCATTGCTTCGTATTCTTGTGGAACCTACAAACAAAAGAAGGAAGTAAGTATTTAGAACGTTAGCTACGATCAGGGTAGAAACATATTCAGACTCTAGGCAACAATTTTAATCACTATTTCTTAAAATCAGGGCATCGACCATATTGCACGTATATTTCTCCAAACATAAATGTTGCAATGTTCGTCCTAAACGTCGGCAAGTGTCAGAAGATTACTCTGTTTCACAACCCAAAGATCACATCATGAGCACACCGCCACGAAAACTTCAAATTTCTTTAAAATCGGAAAATAATAACAAGACCGATGCATTTCGTACTTAATGCAACGATTGTAGGATTTGAGGTTTTCACGGCGGTGAGTTTGAAGATGGCCGTATTCTGGGTTGTTGCGCCGTGTAGTCTGGTAAAAGTTTACCGACATTTCAGATATCCTTGCTGCCTCCATCATCAGGGCGATTTTTACTGGAAAGTTAGAAAAGTGACCTGAACAAAAACTCCAGGTACACAGCACACAATTCAATAAACAGGCATAACGTTTTACCTGAATACCGTACTCAAAATTCGTGCGAACCCGCAGAAATGTTATTGCGTGAATGAAACGCAAGAGGTTAATACTTCTACACAGAGCATTCTCACGATGAACCACGGAAACCCATTCTATCAACCAAGTCTTATCTAGGTGGCCTTATCAGCTATACATGCCATAAATCTATAATATTTTGATAACATCATTGTGCAAATATGTCAAGTTGAACACGTAGCAACATGATATGTAGTTGCTGGAATAGCTAGTCTCTTATCAGCTTTTGTGTGTCGAGTCACTACGAGAAGTCGACAGCTGGAGTCATCTACAGTAGCTAAATAGCTAACCAATCAATCACCTGTATGAAATATCATGGTATTAATGCCGCTAACATCAAAGCCGTCAGTGGACAGAATCCAGATCCAGATCCAGATCCAGATTAATCCATTTTTCCATCCTCGCAACATATTTTACTAAAATCCTTCATGTCCTACATCTCCTTTTTAGTTTTCCAAATGATCATATTCCAAGAGGTTCCCCGCCAATATTGTCTCGAATGGTTCAAACGTTAAAAATACTGAGTTCGCAGAGCTTGCTACCACGACTGAGTCTCACACTACGAGATCTCTCAGTGACATCTGCTACAAAATAATTACAACAGGACCAGTTAAACCGGAAACGGACATTAAAACGCACTCCACTCTTATAAACTTGTGGGTTAACAGACGGGAATTGTCCCCTCAAATGGGAGAGGAGATATGAGTTAATGACAGAACCTGTAAAAAAGGATATTCTCATTTTTTTCAGTGGGTGTCATAAACGCTTGAATCGCAATGGTCGTTACAGAAATGGCCAAGAATTATTCAAACAGCTGTCTAGTAGACAGGTCAGATGTTATCTCCTGTTCTGACAGCTTCTAATGGAATTTCGATGAGCAAATAGCAAAATTGTGCAGCTGACTTACACACAGTCGTCCACAGACAACATATTCTTCTAAACTGTATCTTACGATGTAATTTGTTACCAATCACACTTTACATCATTAGTAAAAAAAAGTTCTATCAATATGGAATTTGCTCCGAATTTAAATGGAAACATTACGCCAAATTAATCTGTTGTTCAGAATTCTAATCAGCTTTTCTGCGATAGTCACTCGTATTCAGCTCTTAACAAATCAATTTTGCACTCTCTGTCGACAACGAGGAAGAAAAGTTAATGATTACGTGCGTCTTATTTATAGCACGGAGCACTGCAGCTCATTTGAGCGGCGGACGACAGACACATTGTTCTCGACAGAGCAACCGTGAACGTCTCAATAACTAGGTGAATCGGCCGCCAGATGGCGGTAACATACTATGCTGACAACACTGTCCCCTTTTGACGACTAGAAGAAATCTTTAAACGGGACGAGCGCAGAGCACTGTACCATGTCGTAGATGTCAGGGCCGGCTTCAGTACCCGCGTTGTAAGCGTAATTGACACTTATCGTGAATATCTTATTAGGGGTCATGATAAAAGCCGCTCTATAACTGGGCACGTTAGCTCGCTAAAGAAATTTTTCCACCTATAAAACGTCTCCAATCGAAAATAAATTATGGCAGAGTATATATTAGGTCGGTTTATTCATCGACGATATTTGTAGATCAGATTATACAGCGTCGAATAATGTGATAATTTGTGAATGATTAATTTGAAATTATGTGAAAGGAGGCACAAGGTACTACTCTGGAATTTGCCTCTAGGGTGCGGAAAAATTCTCGAGAACCTGTCAGGACATAGAGTATCTGGACCAAGGTATTATTCAGAGAGAATGTATGTAGTTATAGTTAACGGAAGATAGAAGTTCGATTACAATTCTAACAGGGGGTGATTCAATCGTATTTAAGTATTTATTAAAGTATTTATTAAAGTAGGGTGTACTGGTATGTCCAATCACCAGTTTTCCGCGGCCTATGCGCTTTCAGCAATTAGTGTCTATGATTGCAGCTTAAATTGTTCATCCCAAGTTTGAAACAATAATTCTTCGGGTTCATTGGCTGACGATGATGATTATGATAGTAGTCGAAAACGGAAAGACATAAAAAACCCAAAGGAAAAAAAATATAGAAAATTAATGAACCAGAATGAGTTTAGTTTTAGCAATACACCTGCATGTAATAATATCGTTCTTAATTAGATCTTATCCCACAACAAGCATTTCTTGCGGATGGCATGATGGATGTCGATTTTAAGAAGTTTTTTCCTTCTTCACATTTTAAAATTAATGAAATCGGCGTGTGTCTTGCATTTGATAGTGTCTTAAAATCGAGGAAATACTGTATTGTAGGTAATGTACGCACACAAGAAGTGCCCAAGTGAGAACTTGCTCTATCTACAGACCTTCACCTTCGACCTCCTATGTCAGATGCTGGAAAAGAGATTGCAATTTTAAGGGAGGTTATTTCCGATCGTAAATTAGAGCAGGCTGGGCGATACGTAATTTATAGCCGCACCAATGCAATTTGTTGTGGTGCGGATGGATACCGTATTCTCACCACATCTGTCGAACCGTCGCCACGGATAGGTAATGGATGGAAGGCGGATACACCGCTCCGGCTAAACCTTTTATTTATTACTCAGTATACGATAGCT